CTAACAAAATGGGCAGTGCTAAAAATAAATGTTCAAGGACTGATTTTAATATAAAATATTTGGGTGCATTTAAAATCATCATAGACTACGAGTGAAATTTTATTAATTAGGATAAAATGTAGAAAAAATTCCCACTTTTCTTATAGCCTTCTCTGCTATAAGTGAAAGCAAAAAAAGCCATGAGAAATACGTGAATTTTCCTCTGTATCATATATAAATAATACACACAAATGCAAAAAATAACAAAAAACCCCAACTATGTCAAACATACATTTTTGAGATGGCAAAGTGAAGAACTCAAATGTTAGGAAATGCTATATTTACAGTTGCCTTTGCAATCTTATTTCTGCCCTCTTGTACATCCATCTCGTGCTTTAAATTAGCAGGGGTTCTGTAGAAAAATAACATGTTCTCATGTAATTAAGGACTGTATCATAATTAGGGCTGGTTGAAAATACATATATCACCCTCCAGTAGATGGTCACATTGTTGTAAAGTGTTTTGAAGGGTCTTGCTAAGACGTTTGCACCCAGAAGCGTGGGATCTTAGTGTGAGATCTTAACTTAGTTCTGTCTGCACTGATGGGCCTTCCTTTTGAACCAATGGCAATGCGCATATCATTACATCTCTCTCCCTATGAAAATGGCAGTTTTAGTTGCAGTTATCTCTGCAAGAAGGTTGGGGCCTTGATAGTATACCATGTTCTGTCTGGACAAAGTGTCACATAGGCATTATCCTAATTTCTACCAAAAGTTGTCAGACTTCCATTTGAACCATAAGATTCATCTGCTTATATTTTCCCTAAGCCACATGCTTCCAAGACGGAGGCTAAGCTCCATTTCCTGTCAGATGTGCATTAGCATTTATTCATAGAGGACAACATCTTTTAGCTTCACATCGAGATTTTTTTCGTTCAATAGCAGAAAAGATGAAGGGGAAACCATCTTGTCTAGCGATAGTCTTAGAAGGAGATCTGTGTGAGATCCTGTTATGAAGTGGCTAAAGTGGGTCCTCCTGCTTCTCTCAGAGCTCATTTTACCTTCATTTAGGCATCTTCTACAGCATCTTTGAAATTGTTTTCCTTTTGTGGACCTATGCGAAGCAGACACGTGGGAATTTGTTCACACATTTTCAAAGCAGTGCGCTGTCATTGAAGCTTCCAGACTAGATGCTGAGTTTGGAAAGGCTATGTTACAATCTCTGTTGTCCTAAGACTCTGAGCTCCAATCTCTATTTCATTGGTCCATTGCTCGGAAGTCACCGTAATTAGTCAAGTAGCCAAAGTCCAAGCATTTGACTAAGAAAGGAAAGTTGCTTGCCTATGCAGTAACTGGACTTCTTAAAGAGGCATTGGCCATATTACGTATTCCATGACTCATCCTTTATCCCTTTTAGACCTGTGTCACCTGGATTTTGCTGTGGAGAGGAGACAGTGGCATTTCTTCCATTCTGTCCTTTTATGCCCTCATTATGGGGCATTGAATTCTAGGGCACATTTGTGGGCACAGCAGACACTGCTTGCCAAAAGACTCCAATCTTGGGCACATGCATACTGTGACGTTGCACTCCATATGATTTTATGAAAATATGCTAATGAGTGTGAATATAATGTAACTTGAATATGCTTCATGCAAAAGGTCTCTTGTAAGGTATCATTACAAAGCCTATAATCTACTGAGTGTGTTCATCCTATTTGTATAAATGTATCACTAGTATATGAAATTAGAAATATGAAATATAACTCTGAGGTCCTATTGTAATTATGCAAAGTGTGGGCCATTAATGGTGGTTTGGAATCTTGATGGCTCCCATTAACCAGGACAATTATCTGTAGATTGCTCTGTTTACTTGCAAGCCTTCCTGTGAGTCAGGCTGGGAAGAATGAAGGCTTGGGGTCTCACAGACATGTGATCAATGTCACTTGGTACTGAAATCCATCTTAAACCTGGTGCTTTTTCATTTAGAAGGGGTGGGGACCCAGAGAGACAAAAGATTTCTGCCTTGTGCCAAAGCTATAAAAGGGGATGCAACAGAACAAAGGAGGTTACAGTCATGAGAGATCCCCTAGTTACAACCTGAGCTGGAGCTAACAAGAACTGTACCAGGGGAAAGGATTGGGCCCAGACTAGGAAGGAGATTAGACTGTGAAAGAAGCTTTTTGGAACATCTCTGAGGGTAAGAATTTATCTGTAATTGGTTTCTTGGTGTATTGGGCTTAGACTTGCATGTTTTTGTTTTATTTTGCTTGGTAACTTACTTTGTTCTGTCTGTTATTACTTGGAACCACTTAAATCCTACTTTTTATACTTAATAAAATCACTTTTGCTTATTACTTGACCCAGAATAAGTAATTAATGCCTGGGGGAGCAAACAGCTGTGCATATCTCTCGATCAGTGTTAAAGAGGGCGGATAATTTGAGTTTACCCTGTATACGCTTTATACAGAGTAAAACAGATTTATTTGGGGTTTGGATCCCATTGGGAACTGGGTATCTGGGTGCTGGAGACAGGAGCACTTCTTAAGCTGTTTTCAGTTAAGTCTGTAGCTTTGAGGACATGGTTCAGACCTAGGTCTGTGTTTGCAGCAGGCTAGCATGTCTGGCTCAACAAGGCAGGGTTCTGAAGTCCCAAGCTGGCAGGGAAAAAGTGCTGAGACTACCTCAGAACCCATCACATGGCAGTCCCAAGGGGGTCTCTGTGACCCAATCCAGCACACATACCTTAAATGGAGTATGTCTGATGGCCAACACATCTTGAAGAATTCCAGGTACCTACGTACACATGTGTAACTTTTCTTGCTTGATTTGAAAATGGTAGTAAATCATTTACTATGCAGGGAAGGAGAGTTAATAACTGATCCCATCAGGAAGGTTGAAGTGTTTAATGCCTATTTTGCTTCAGTCTTCACTAAAAAGATTAATGGTGACCAGATACTCAACACAATTAATTTTAACAAGGGGGAAGGAACACAGGTCAAAACTGGGAAAGAACAGGTTAAAGAATATTTAGATAAATTAGAGGTAGTCAAGTCAGCAGATCCTGATGAAATTCATCTGGGATACTTAAAGAACTAGCTGAAGCAAGCTTGGAACCATTAGCAAGTACCTTCATGGAGGATGGGTGAGGACCCCGAGGAAATGCAGAAGGGAAAACATAGTACCTATCTTTAAAAAGGGGAACAGAGGACCTGGAGAATTATGGCTTAGTCAGCCTAACTTCAGTACTTGAAAAGATACTGGAACAATAATTAATCAATTTGTAAGCATCTAGAGGATAATAAAATTATAAAGAATAGCCAGCATGGATTTTTTTCAAAGAAAAATTATGCCAAACCAACCTAATTTCCTTCTTCGATGGTGTTACTGGGTTGGTAGATAAGGGGAAGCAGTAGACATGATGTATCTTGATTTTTAGTAAGGATTTTGACACAGTCCCACCTATTATTCTCATAAGCAACCTTGGGAAATGCAGTCTAGATGAAATTACTATAAGGTGGGTGCACAATTGATTGAAAAAGTAGTTACTAGTGGTTAAACTGGGAGGGCATATCTAGTAGGGTCCCACAAGGGTCCAATACTATAATGGAATGGGAAGAATGCTTATAAAATTTGTGGATGACACCAAGCAAGGAGGGGTTGAAAGCACTTTGAAGGACAGGATTAGAATTTGAAATGACCTTGATAAATTGTAGAATTGATCTCAAATCAACAAGATGAAATTCAATAAAGACAAATGCAAAGTACTTTGGTTAGAAAGGAAAAATCAACGCACAACCACAAAATGGGGAATAACTGGATAGCTGGTAATAATGCTGAAAAGGATCTGGGGGGTTATAGTGGATCACAAATTGAACATGAGTCAACAAGGTGATGCAGTTGTGAGAGGCTAATAGCATCCTGGAGTGTATTAACAGGAGTGTTGTATGTAAGACATGGGAGGTAACTGTCCTGTACTCCTCGCTCATGAGGCCCCAGCTGGAGTACTTTGTACAATTCTGGGCACCAGACTTTAGGAAAGATGTGGATAAACTGGACAGAATCCAGAGGAGAGAACAAAAATGATGAAAGGTTAGAAAACCTGACCTATGAGGAAAAGTTGAAAGAATTGGGCATGTTTAGTGTTGAGAAAAGAAGTCTAAGTGGGGACTTGATAAGTCTTCAGATATGTTAAGGGCTGTTATAAGAGGACTGTGATTGTTTTCCATGTCCACTGATGGTAGAACAAGAAGTAATGGGATTAATTTGCAGCAAAGGAGATTTAGGTTAGCTGTTAAGAAAAGTGTTCTAACTATAAGGATAGTTAAGCTCTGGAATAGGCTTCCAAGGGAGGTTGTGGAATCGCCATCATTGCAGGTTTTTAAAAACAGATTGGACAAACACCTATCAGGAATGGTCTAGGTTTACTTGGCCATACCTCAGTGCAGGGAGCTGGATTTCATCACTTCTCAAGATCCCTTCCAGTCGTAGATTTCTATGATTCCATTTGTACAAAATATTTTTAGGATGCCTAGCTGCTTTTTGAAAGTATAGAGCTGTAGAAATTTGTTAGTCATTTAGAATGTCTTTTTATATACTGTATATGTATCTTTGTAAGGTTTTGTTTGTGCTTAGTCCCTGGCTTGAAAAAGCCCCAATATTTTGATCGTCTGCTCACTCTGGAAAGCTCATCTGTATAAGCATGCCTTTTTTTGGAAGTCTGAGATATTACAGGATGGGATTGTAGCTGGGGGATTGTGCATATGGGGAATGCATTTTAAGTATTATTGGTTCTATTGACTGGTGGTTAGATGAAGTTTTATTAGGGTTAGGGGGAAAGGGGAAATGCTGTTCATTTGACAATTTATATTGTACCACTTCTAGTATTGTGGATTTAAGTGTATGTCAAAGGCACCCAGAGCTCTGGATGAGGTACTTTTTGGTGGAGAGTTGTTTTTAAGATCAAAATAAAAATGAACGAATAATACTCTTCTGCTTTATTGTCATAATTTTTTTCATTTACAGATAATCTTGTGATGGAAGGGAGCCAATGTGTTGCCTCTGCAGTCTCCACCCTTATGAATCCAATAACCAACCCTGCCACTGCCTGTTCGTTCAACACATTTGCTGTTGAGTCTCCAAAAAAGCGCAAAGGAAGTGATTTTGATAACCAGTAAGTGATCTGCTTCTACTCTTCTCTACATCATGATGAGACAATACCAGTTGGAGGCAAGCATCTGTTCTTGCTTAACTTTGTCATGTTTTTGTGCCATTTCCCATTACATTATATTTATTTTAAAGGAAAACAATATTGCACATCCATTCTTTGGAAATCCTGGGCGATCAAGAACTATAGACAGATGGGGTCCTGACTCCCTGGAGTTGATTTTAGGTGGATTTCTATAATGGCATTTTCTGGTCCAATACCTTGGTAGTATACCTCTGGGGCTAGAATTTCAAACCATAACTTTTTTCTATCCCCCTTTTTTCAGTAAAGGCATGCTAACCTGTAGCATACGGTTATTACAAACCCTATGCTACATATGTTTATGTTGTTACATAAATACAAACAAGAATATCACTTAAAGTGTCTGGTTGATTTGCTAATTAGCTATTAAACCTAGAACTGGAATATATGGTGCTGGTGTAATGATGAAGTGGGTAGGCAGTCACAGAAGAATCTATACAGAAGTGCAACCTAGAAAGATTTGATGCTGGAGTTCTCAAACTCTTTCATAATGTGGAGCATGCTGTAATACTGAGATTAGCTTGTGGACTGCTCCTCTCCCATCCACGAGCACATAACATCCCTGGGGCAGCTACAGTGATTGCATACATGGAAAATACTGTTAGGAAAGTATTGTACTTTAAGGTGTATTTTGAATGTTGTTTAGCAGCTGGAAGGAAGAAAGAGAGTCAGCACACAGGACCAGCAAGATCTCTCTAGACTTTTTAGTCCACAGACTACAGCTTGAGAATCATCATGTTAATAAAATGAAAATAAAATCACCATGCTGCATTTGTACCAGTGAAAGCAGTTTCTTTTCCTGAACCTCAACAAACTACAATGTGTGTCCAGAATGTAAACATTTGACTTCCACTGTCACATGATATGTTCAGATGTTCCCTGCACCTCTTAAGGTTTTTAAATAAATAGTCCAAACAAATCCATTTCTGAAAAATTAACAGCTTTAGCTCTTGCAGAACTTATGGCATAGGATTCCAATGTTCCATGGGAAATTTCAAACTCAACGAAAAGTCGATTTTTCAAGCCCTGGACAGATAATTACTGTGTACTAATTTTAACCAGGAGTCTAGAGTTTCTGAAGTGCTCTGAATCTAGTCATTGACAATTCCCTGGGCCAACCAGACCTCATTGACTAAAATTTGTTTAGACAGCTTATATATCCAAATTTCTGGTACAGTATACTATAATTCAAATGTATCATGCCTCAGAAATGAAACATCAGTTACATACAAAAATATATTTTAAAATATTTATTTGGGTTGCCAAATTAAGCATTCAAAAGTCAGGAAATTCCAGATTGGATTGAGCAGGCAACCTTAATTCTGCTCCCTCATTCATTGGACCACTGTACTTAATAAGGCAGGTTCTATTTAAAAAAATTGTTTTTAATAACATGATCATATCCTATCCTGAGCACATGGAGGCAGAATTAAGGTTGCCTGTCAACAACAAGTCTGATGGTTCAAGTGATTTATTTATGTAGAAAATTCACTTACTTTTATTGTATGTAACTTTGAAGATGTCTTTTAAAAAAAGAAAAAGGTATACCACAGAACTTGGTTGTAAAACTGCCCTTATCTTTCTACCCTCTCCTGCCTGCCCAAATCATGTGTTGTCAGCAGAGTTTGAACCCTAAAGTTTCAGCACTGCAAGACAACTTGAGCTACAGAAATTAACTATATTAGCTAGCAATAGAAGGCTGTTATCCCAGGGAGGTGGGCCATGGCACCATATGCTGTATCCCAGGGATGGTTGGGGAGAGCCCGCATGGCTCCCCTGAGAGTTGGGGAAGTTCCTGCCCCATGATTTGCCCTGGGGAGAGGAGTGGGGAAAAAGGGATGCTGGGGGCATCCTGAATTGGTCTGAATCAACCATACAAAATTCAGTAAAGACAAGTGCAAAGTAATACACTTAAATAAAAATCAAATGAAGAACCACAAAATGGGAACTAACTAGCTGGGCATTAGTACTACGGAAAAGTAGCTGGTGATTATAGTTGATCAAAATTGAATATTAGCCAATGATGTGATGCAGTTGCGAAAAAGGCTAATGTTCTGGGGCATATTTAACAGGAGTGTTGTATGTAAGACATGGGAGGTAATTGTCCCATACTACATGAGGCCTCAGCTGGAATACCGTGTCCAATACTTTAAGATAGATGTGGACAAATCGGAGAGATTCCAGAGGAGAGCAGTATAAATTATAAAAGGTTTAGAAAATCTGACTATGATGAAAGGTTTTAAAAAAAAAAACTGGACAGGTGTAGTCTTGAGAAGAGAAGATTATGTTGAGGACCTGATAATAGTCTTCAAATATCTTAAGTGCTGTTATGAAGAGGTCAGTCATTGATTGTTCTTTATGTCCACTGAAAGTAAGACAAGAACTAATTGGTTTGATCTGCAGCAAAGGAGATTTAGGTTAGGGTGACATTCCCCAGGGTACAATCTGGACAGTTGAACAGCTGTGTTCTCTCAACCCTACAACTGGGGGTGCATTTCACACTGCTTTGCTGTGAGAACAATCACTCCTGTCCTGTTCACACACAGCTTCTAGCATACAAAATCACACCAAGCTGAATGATATGAGCGCTTCTAGCCATTCACTCTTGAATTATATTGTAGAGTGACACCAGCAAATTCCCAGTCCCAGACTTGTCTCCAGAAGTGTGTGTCTTGGTACTGACCAGTTCTTTCCTTCTGTGCAGTACAAGCTAAATGAATTCAAAGTAAAGGTTTTTCTCACCACATGCTTTTACTGGCTGAATTCCTTCAGTAAGGACCAGTCCCCCAGTTCATTGATGTTTCCTTTGTCTTTCAAATATTGATGATGCATGAGTAAATATGAGGGGAGAGGTGATGTGTGTCCTGTGTTCCCCCTTCTTAAAGCATTTATCTTCTTTGAGAGAATCCTCTCCAGCTTAGGTTCAGGCAACAGCAAATCTGTTTTGGAGGGCAAGCCCCTGCTGTTCCACTGCCAAAATGTAAATTTCTTGCTCAGACTCTTTTTCCTGCCAAAGAATGGCTGCTCTACCAGGTAATAGTCCACTTGATTATGTTGACATCTGGCTGAGGTGCTGTCTAACCTTTTTTTCCCTGAGGAACTCGTTTGGATTGCTTTTCTTAACTTGGAGCATGTCTCAGCAATGCCATACAGTAAAATCTTTTAACCTTGCATACAATGTTGCTGCATATATTTTATCAAGACGACAATGTTCAGTAGATTATGAATTTTTCAAATGATACCTCACAAGGCATGCTTTGTACAAAATGCATCATAGTTTTGTAAAAGTGGTGAACATAAGGGTATGGTCTGTCACAGTTAGATAATAGGAAAAATTATCTAAGGATAGTTAAGTACTAGAATAGGCTTCCAAGAGAGGTTGTAGAATCCCCACTATGAGAGGTTTCTAAGAACAGATTAGACAAACATCTGTCAGGAATGGCTTAGGTATATGTAGTCCTGCCACAGCACCATAGGATGGACTACATGATCTCTTGAGGTCCCGTTCAACTCTACTTTTCTGTGATTATGTGCTCAGAAGCTGAGCTGAATTTCCCTGAAGATTTCACTTGCATTGATCATGCTCCAGCTCAAGACTGACCAGGACTTTCCCTGCAATTGCTGCTCTGGGTTGCTGCAGTCTGTGCACTGAGACAGCGAGCCTGTCCTCCTATGCTCTTACTGACCTCCTTCTGGGACCAGGCAGTGTGGAAGAGAAAGTTGTCTGATTTGAATGCGTGGGGGGAGGGGGGGTAAGAGTCAGGCCTGCAAGGAGTAAGGAATGGGTTAGGACAAGATTCCTGGTTGATGGGGAAGATGAGGCTGGTGGGGGGTGGGGTGGGAAACTGGAAGTTAGGGGCAAGTTATTCAGATCAGTGACAATGTACCAGCTACAGTATATTCTTACACTTGTAAATACTTTTTTTTCAGAATTTTTGTATGCTGACCACTTTCATTCCATTAGCAAATATTTACCATTTTCCCCCTAGCTTCTCATGACAGAAGACAATATAGATTTGTCATTTATATTTTTATAGACTGGTATCACTAATGTTCCTGCTATGTTTAGAAAAATGTGCTGACTGTACAAAGTACAAAATATTTTAGTCCATCGTAAACTGGTGGTTGGTTTGTTTTTCTTGGCAATAGTATGACTGTTAAAAATCTGTGAAACATTTCTCACCAAATTACAAGATTTATGGTAGACCAAATGTGGGGCCTAAACTAATCATGTGTTCCATTATTATTAGACTATAAAATTTAAACTGTGTGAACATTCAAAGTTAAATTTAGTGCAGTTTATTATGTTTTGGTTTTGCATTATGGAATAGTTCCTAAAGAATTGAGACTTCTAGAACTTTGTGCATTAATAAGCAATGTTTCCTGTATCTTTTTAAATTAATGTACTGTTTTTTAAAAATTTAAATATATAATGTAAAATTATACTCTGTTTTTCTAGGAGTGAAGATGGAGAACATGTAAAAATTAAATATTTCAGGTATAGTAATTTGGAGAAGTTCATTTTTCTGGGACTGAATCTACCAAAATCTAAAATCATAATTCATAGTTTTGTTATAAGTTTTCAAATACTTAATGTTTCCAATTTTCTTAAACTTTTTTCTAAACTCATGTTGAAATTTCAAAGTTGATTGGGGGTTTAATTTTCCATTTATTGCAGTGTAAATTGTATAGCTAAATCCCGTCTTTGGCTTTGAAAATTTCAACCTTGTGGTTTTACTAGGTATATATTAGTTAATGTAATGTATTCATGGCATGTTTAAACTAGGGGACAGCTGGTGTAAATTTGACGATCTACCTCTGTGAATTGAAGAACTTTGTAATTTAACAGTCAAATGTTTCTAATCCGTAATCCACTAATCAGCACACTGTGGCATTGACAAACAAAAAATCCTGGTCATTCCTTTCTTCTCAGCAAAGATTTAATTGCAGAGTCCTGTAATGTGGTCGCACTTTACCAAAATCTTTATTATTATACAATAATTAGTAAATATCCTTTTATATTTACTCAAAACTAATATCTGATCATTTAAATCTAAACAGTAATTGTCAAACTAAATCAACAAGTCCCTAGTGATATACTATCCTTGCTGTTTGGTCTACTTGTTAAACACAAAATTCAGTTCTCAATGGGTGTCCCAGTGATTAGTGAGATTCTGTATATAAAATCCTGTTCTTTGTTAATTTTCACATTTTGTTCTTAATTTTGTTTTGAATTACTTTGTTCACTAATCAAAAAACATAAAGTTATGCATGCAGTTCACGAGAGGAATATTTTAGGGCTTGGTTCAGTAGTATATTCCTCCACTGTTGTTTTGCTGAAGCTTCATTGGGCAACCTGTTTGTGACCTTAATCTTCTTTCTTGCCTGCAAATCATAAAACTTTGTTCATTAGCAGCTGTGAAATGCATTCTGCACCATCCAGTCCCCTGAATCCATCTATCCCAGTTGCAATAAACTACCTGTTCATTGGGTTCTCCAGGTGTTGTACAACTGAGCTGGGAACTTCCCCCAATGGTTTGTCTATTAGGTTATATACCACACTACAGTTTACATCAGTATAAATTATGTCGCTCAGGGATGTGAATAAGCCACTCCCCTGAGCAATGTAAGTTACACTGACCTCAGCGCCAGTGTGGACAGCACTACGTCGGCAGGAGAGCTTCTCCTGCTGACATAGCTAGCGAGGCTTTCGGGGACTGGAGTAATTAAGTTGACAGGAGAGCTCTCTCCCTTCGGCTTAGGGTGCCTGTGCTAGCAGCACTACTGCGGTGCAGCTGTGCCACTGTAAAGCTATGGCTACACTATAGAACTAAGTCTCTGTCTTCCGTTGTATAGACACAGAGGTAAAGGCAAACAGAGTATATGACTACCTGGTGTCAGGAAAAAAGTTTTAGTCTGGGGATGGATGGGACAGAAGCAAATGCCAAGATTTTAGAGAGGGGAAAAAAGGAGAAACAACACTATTGTGGGATAACTAATCCAGATATTTAAAAAAAATTGGTTGCTTTGGAAGAAAAGTCAAAATTAACTTGTCTGTAAAACCAGAGATTTTCTTCAAAATTGGTCCTTAAAAGTAATATGCAGCCACAGGTATATACATAGAGGGGAATGTTTTCTGTAAGATCAAATTCAGAATTATGGGAAAGAACAGAGACAAAACACTTCTCTTTTGTTCCAACCACTTATGAGCAAGTTCATGCTGCTTTGGTTTTATTTTCAAAATTTCACATCACACCATTTTCCATGAGCAGCTGCTGCATATTTCAGGCGAATCAGGTGACAGATTAGCTGTCAAATATGTGCATTGTACATAAGTTCTTTCAATATGGTGTTATTTCTCACAATACAATCTGTCCCCCTGATAAAGTTGATGTATATAGCACAGGGGAAAATCTAGTGAAAAATGTATGTATTTTGAACTTTGCTTAAAATACTTTTCTTCTTAGGGAAGCTCATAGTCAAACAGAAAAACGAAGAAGAGATAAAATGAATAACTTGATAGAAGAATTATCTGCTATGATACCTCAGTGCAATCCTATGGCACGTAAATTAGACAAACTTACAGTATTACGAATGGCTGTGCAGCATTTCAAGTCATTAAAAGGTAAGTTAAAAACTGATTTTATAATTTCTTTATTTAATGGGAATTACGCAACGGAATTTCTTTACAGTTCTATAACTGTTAGCTGTTCTGTATCTATACTTAGAGTTCAACTCTCAGGTTCACTAAATATATTTACCAAAAGATTGAATTTTGAAGAAATTGCACGTTATTTTAGAGATTGTTCATACATTTAGTTATTTAGGAAGAAATGTAAAGTTTTATATGATAGCAAAGACTAGAGTGAAATGCTGTGGCAAAGAAGCAGTTACATTTGAAACATAAGTTTAGGAACAAAAATTCAGCTGAGTCAACATGTCTGCTCTTTAGATTTACTTACTCTCATGTCCCTTGCTGTTGGTTATTTGTATTACCATGTATCTAAGTCGTCTTTCCCAGACATAGTTTTACGTGTATCTTGAACTCTTGCATGCACTTCATTTGTTGTCAGTGTTACATTAGTTATACACTTCTAGCCCGATATAACATGAATTCGGATATAACGCAGTAAAGCAGTGCTCCGGGGGGGGGTGAGGGGGGCTGCGCACTTCAGTGGATCAAAGCAAGTTCGATATAACACGGTTTCACCTATAATGTGGTAAGATTTTTTGGCTCCCGAGGACAGCGTTATATCGAGGCAGAGGTGTATCTATAAGGTACAATATATATATATATATATACACACACACACAGTAGTTCTGTTTAAATTCTCTTAGCTGCTCCTAGTTTTTATTTTTACCTTGTCTTCGAGATTTTGAAGCTTTTATTAGTGTAAAAAATAACTCGTAAACTTATCAGTTACATCAGAATTTCCTCCTTTTGCAATAAAAGTCCCATAACTTTTGGCTCTTGTGACTTATTCAATAGAATCAGTTTTGTTGTCCTATGATTTATCCTCTCCAAAGCAATAGTATTCTTCCTCTAGACAATGGGGTTCAAGCAAGTGCCTTATTTCTAATTTGAATTTGTCTGGCTTTAATTTCCAGCCATTGGTTCTTGTTATACCTTTTTCTGCTAGATTAAAGGGCCCTTTAGTACCTGGTATTTTCTACAGTCCGGTCACCTCTTGGTCTTCATTTTGATAAACTAAACAGATTGAACTCTTTAAAGTCACTCACTATAAGGCATTTTTTCCAGTCCTCAGATCATTATTGTGGCATTTTTCTTTACCCTCTCCAGTTTTTCCATATCTCTTTTTAAAGCGGGGATACCAGAAGTACAGTGTTCCAGTATCATTCTCACTAGTGCCATATATTGAGATAAACTCACCTTCTTGGTCTTACTCGCTAATCTCGTGTTCATACATCCAAGGATTGTGTAACAGGTGCATGCTGTCCTTGCGCATCTACTTGTGGCCAAGTGAAGTATTACAGGTGTGCCTGCCTTAATTTCCGAATTGGGCCATCAGTAAAGTTGTAAACTAATCTAAACTCCATATTCCCCAAATGTCCAGGGGGTAAACTCTGTTTACCTAGGTCACCAAGCGATCCAGATCAGTCTGTATGATTACCTTGTCCTCCTCATTGTTTAGTACTCCAGTGGTCTGTGTCAAGTAAGTTTTATAGCAGTGATTTTATATTTGCTTCTAGATCATTGATGAAAATACTGAATAGCATCAGGTCTAGAACTGATCCCTGCAGAACACCACTAGAAACATTCCCATTTGATGCTGAGTCCCCCCATTGATGACTACTAATTTGAGATCTGTCAGTTAGCCAGTTCTTCCATTTAACATTATGTATTGATATTGTATAGTGCTAGTTTTTTAATTAGAACGTTGTGAGGTGAGATGCCTCACAAAAGTCTAAATACATCTACATCTGCATCAACCAAGTTTGTGTCATCAAAAAATGAAATCAGGTTTGTTTGACAAGACTTATTTTCTGTACGGCTGCATTGACTGGTGTTAATTATATTCACATTCTTTAATCCTGTATCAGCTTTTCCATTATTTTGCCTGGGATTGGTGTCAAGCTAACCAGCTATTTATCCAAGACATCCCTCTTGCCCCTTTTTGAACATGGGTACAATGTTAGCACTCTTCTAGTTGTCATGATTTGCTAAAAATTAATAGTGATTTTAGAGATCTTCTCAACCAACTCTTTTAGGATTCTTGGATGCAAGTTATGTAGGCCTGCTGTTTTCAAAATGTTTATCCCAGGGGATAGTCAAAAGAAAATAATGTCATGAATTAGCAAAGTGGCAGCTGCATTCAACAGCTGAAAAAAGATTTGGTCATTAAAAAGCCACTAGTTAAAGACCAAACTGCTAATCTTCAACTCAAATGTTATTTCCACCTAATGTGTGGATGTGAAAGCTGGATATCCAGCAAAGGTTTAGACCTGCCTAAATGCCTTCAAAAGCAAATGCCTCAGGAGAAAATACTAGTTATTAAATGGAAAGAGTTTAGAACACATGCAAGATTCATCAGAGAGTTTAACAACCCCTTGTCTCTAAAGTTATCCAGAAAAGATGGAAATATAATCTAAAACATGTTAAAAATGAAGCCAGAATATCTGCCATGTCAGGCGTGCCATTGGGCAGCTGGGGGGGAACGTGCAAAAAGCGTCTGACTGAAGGAATTGCTCCATCAAACAGTACTTAGAGAGGGGAAAACTTATGGATCTTAAAACACAGAGGTCATGCAGAGAGCTCAGGATATAGAAGGATGGTGGAACCTTTTTCATATGTTAAGCAATGTTTGATGGTGCGGGCAGGATTCAGATAAAGTTAGACATCTATCAAAGCTAGGACTACAAAAATGTTTAATCTGTCATTTGCTTGTAGGTAGAAGTGTCTTTAGTTCTCCTAAACACCACTTCCCTTATTACGTAGGTGATATTCTTAATGATATGTAACGAATGATCGATGCTAAAATGAAAAACACAGCAGTTCTGCACAGAAGCAATGCAAAATCCAATCGGTGATGTTACTGACAGTTAGTTTGGCTGTTCTCGGTTTGTTTAATATTATCCAGTTTGGGGAAGGGAAGATGCAGTGTGGTTTGGAGTAGAGGGCTTCTAAGGGGAAAGTTCTGTTAGAGGTGCTATCTCTGAGGAGACCTAAAACAAGAGATGCTGAACACTTGCTAAAGGTATCAGGGCACTTTTTTCAGGAGTAAGGCTGTCATGGCCTGTGCTGTTTGACAGTTCCATGCTAGTGGATGTGGTCTATTCTACAAATCTATTCTACAATTTTACACTGACTACCTGAATTGCTGTTGCTGAGTACCAACTCCTTTTTGCACTTTTGCCTATTGCATCTCAGGGTTATTTGTGCATGAGGGGTAGTGTAGATAAAATCTCAAAGATGAAGGCAGAGTATTTTTGTCATCTATAAATTAATATCCTAGTAATATACTTCAATATAAATTTTTTTTGTGTGTGTGTGTGAGAGAGAGGTGTCATACTACATTGGCAACATGCATGAGTTCTTGCATAACTTACAAAGTTCTTCTTTCATTTTGAACTGAATTCATAACCTTGAGTCTGGTTAAGATCTAATTAAAATAGTCACCACCTTGAAATTGTTTCCTTTTTACTTGTTTTTTTCTCAGGGTTCTTCATTTTTTGCAGACATCTGGTCTTGTGTTCTGTGTGTTTTATCCCAAACACATTTGCTTTAGCATAGGTCTGGAATTCCTGAGATGAGGTTATGACTGTTTAATGAGTTCTTTATTAAAAGAAAAGTGAATTTGTACATTCCAGTATAGAAAGCAGAAAACTGGTTTTTTTATGGTTAAAAAGCACTGTGTGCATGTTCTACATGTGAATTTGTTTCCTATATAAACAAAGCTGCATTTTAATCAAAGGATTACATTTTGTTTCTTTTATAACATTTATAAATAACTTGCTGTTTTGCAGGTTCTACCAGTTCTTATGCAGAAGTTCAATATAAGCCTTCATTTTTACAGGATGGTGAGCTGAGACAATTAATCCTTAGGGTAAGTAAAAAGAAACCATGTATCAAGTGATGTCCTCTTTAAAGCCTGGCTTAACTTCAGTTGACTGCAAAGGGCTTTTCCTTACATTCTTTCTTCAAGTCAGTGCTTTGATATTCTTTCTAAGACTCAGTTTATAAACTCTAACAATAGAATATATGCACAGGATTTTTCTATAAAAGCCATGGAAACTGTATGTGTTTAATAAGGCATTTATACAAACTGTACCCAGGAGCATCGTAAATCTGTATAAAAACTGCATAACAAATGTGCTAGGTGGATGTTTTATATTTATCTAAATAGCTAAGTGTGTGCACTTATACAAAAAATTCTTTCATTTCCATTAACTATGTCTGCAGATTTTCTACACTTCATTTTGTTTTCAAAGTATACACTTCAGTTACTGAAAGATGTGGAAATTAACCTATGAAAGCAGCTGTTTTTACTTACAATATTTTCTCATCACACTTTCATTTGCCACAGTTTGCCTATTCTATTGTATGTAATAATACCCTTTAGCAAGAATCTGTAAAATAACTCCAAGTTAAGCTGTTCTACAGCTAAGCTGCTCTTTCCTAAAACCACTTTTGTTTTTTAGCTCTGCGTGTCATGGTCTGATTGGATATTTCCCATTATTTTAATTTGTCTCTCTTTTTATTAAAAAGCGACAAAGAATCCTGTGGCACCTTATAGACTAACAGACATATTGGAGCATAAGCTTTCGTGGGTGAACATCCACTTCGTCAGACACAGGACTCTTTGTCGCTTTTTACAGATCCAGACTAACACGACTACTCCTCTGATACTATCTCTTTATTAACTAAATTGTAATTCACCTAAAATATTGAGGTGCATTAGTTAATATACTCATTCTATATAGCTGTTTTTCATCAGTGTTGTATGATTTTATAAAAGACTAATTTTTATATTTATAGGCTGCAGATGGGTTCCTGTTTGTGGTTGGATGTGATAGAGGAAAAATTCTTTTTGTCTCTGAATCAGTCTGCAAGATACTTAATTATGATCAGGTAGTTATAATCAAGTCATTTTTTATTAAAATGAAATTAGTTTCTAGATAATGTGTTTGGTTTTGTTATAAATACCATTCTTCGTGCATGATTTCTTTAAATCTTTTGGCTTTAGCTTCCTCTTCAACACAATTACTCCAAAGGTTCGTTACTTTGAAATTATAAGCATTCTGCAACTACAATGAACATTCCTGACGCAATTACTGGCATCTAATTTAGAACTATGATCTTCAGGAAATGATTTACATACCAGCCCAGGAGAAAAATATATTTTGAAGATGTCCTTGTTTCCACCTTTTATTGACAGAGATTTGGGCTTTTGGATGGTGAAGTGATTCTCTGAACTTTAGAAAACCAGTATTTCAACAGTGCAAGTAAATTGAAACTCAACTTGGTAATTGCTTAGTTTCAACAGTTTTAAGATTGAATAGTCATGCACTGACATCTGTAGTGCGGAAACCAACCAATCTAGACGCATTTTAGTTCAGGAAAGGGAGAAAGAATGAAGACTAGTCTAGTGCTCTCCCGTTTACCAAGATGCAGGTTATTTACTTGGAAATTTCTGGCCTGAACTGCCTTGCCCAGTGGCTGATGAGTAGCTTTTTGAACCCTTTGTGCCATCCACATCTACTTTTAAACCCCCTCCACTTTTCCATTTTTCCTCATAGCATTTTTAGAGTTTAAATCAGGCTGTCTGCCCCCTTACCCTTCTCTAGCTAGCAGTGAGAGACACCATCAACCCTTACATTAAAAACTGAAAGATAGGAAATCAACATGAATGAATGGGGGGAGGGATAGCTCAGTGGTTTGAGCATTGGCCTGCTAAACCCAGGGTTGTGAGTTCAGTCCTGGAGGAGGCCATTTAGGGATCTGGGGCAAAAATCTGTCAGGGGATTGGTCCTGCTTTGAGCAGGGGGTTGGACTAGATGACCTCCTGAGCTTCCTTCCAAACCTGATATTCTATGATTTTCCAATTTCTCCATTTAACTTAATGGGTAAGAGATAATTGCATTTCTGCCACCATGTTTTTTACTAATTTCTATAGTGTCTGTATGCTTTTAATTAAAATATTGAAACAAAAATAAGAATTCAACAAAGCTGTTATTTGAGAGCAAATTCAATGGATAAATGTTACAATTTAGCCAGAATAATTCAGATATCTGGGAATTCTGACCTTTTCTAAAACAGCCTTGAACATTAAGTTACTTGGTGAGGAGATGCGGAATAGAGTGTGTGATGCACAGCTTTTAAATTAACATTTTTTCACTAGGCCAGCTTGATTGGACAAAGTTTATTTGACTACTTGCATCCAAAAGATGTTGCCAAAGTGAAGGAGCAACTATCCTCTTCAGACGCTTCACCAAGAGAAAAGCTTATAGATGCCAAAAGTAAGCATCTATTTAAATGTACTCAGATTTTTAATGTAATGCCTTCATTTGTTTTTAAATTCAGTTATTATGTAAGGCAAATTCATGCATTCATGCATGCATATATGTGCAAACACGTTCATATGATTTGTACAAACAAAACATGTTTGAATGCATACCTGCTGCTTAGAATACACAAACAAGTTGAAAGCTGAATCAGAAAGGAACTCATTTTAGGTAATAAGAATGATTGAAGTTTACATTGTTAGACGTTTACCAAGAGTTGGTATGAATTTTTTTTAACCAGGCATACTACTTTTTTTTCTTGTATTTGATAGGTCTTGTCAATACAAAAGACCTGATGTAGTCGAGCATGGGATAAAATGCTTCAATACCAAGAATCACTGTCTTCTCTGAAAATGCTAAGTGTCAATCCTAATTTAACCAAGTCTTATTTTGCTAGTATGGAGAACATTATGTACTGTGCAGCTGATCACTATTTTATAGTGTTTTTTATGAGCAGCTTTGCAACTTCCCCCCTACCAAATAGAAATAGAAAGTTTTTAAAATCTTAACTTACTAAATAAGATTGCATAGCATTGAATAGTATATTAAAATATTTTGTTAGCTTCCACTTTTTACAATCATGTTTTGTTCATCTTATTTAATTCATTTAAGTTTTTTTCAGTAGTTAATTGTACGTGCAAAAATTTAAGAGTCATTAAGGCAATTGGGAGACTATATTAATGATTTAAATGCAAATAATTCTCTGTAGTCCAAAGACCTTTTTCTGACTGTCTTATTAAACTTTTACAAGCTGGCTTGCAAGTACGTATGGATTTTCAAGCTGGATCAGCTCGATTGCATTCTGGTGCTCGGCGTTCCTTCTTCTGTCGGATAAAGTGTAGTAGGATCACAGTCAAGGAAGAAAAGAAATGCTTGCCCAACTCAAAGAAGAAAGGTATCTCAAAGTGTGGCTGAGTTGGAGGATTTCTGTTTTTAAATATGGTATATTTAAGTTCTGAGTCCGTTATGGGGTCTAAATAGGTAGCAATGACTTCACAGAATAATTATAGGGAATAAGATATACATAAGACCCTGTTTTTATGGTCTCGGAAAAGCCTGCCTTAGTTATCCCCCGAGGGGAAAAAAAATTCAGTCACTGCTTATGAGTGTATGTAAGATTCTAATGGGATCTTGAAGCCTGAGGAAAATTACTGAATGGAACTGGAGCAGTTCAAAGCGTAGGAGTAAGAAGAAATATCTGTCAAGGAGATAACTATTAATAGGGTTGCAAAATCTGCTGTTTTGAAGAGGATAACTTAAGTGGTGGGGAAAAAAATCCTCTTCCCCTCCCAAAAATGCATTGTTGTTGTATTTATGTATCAGGTATGATTTTTTCCTTTTATTATAAAAACTACCAAAGTTAATTCTTTAATATGCAGTGTAATTGTAGCCATGTCGGCCCCCAGAAACTAGAGAGACAAGGTGGATGAAGTAATATCTTTTATTGGACCAATTTCTGTTGATGAGAGAGACAAGCTTTTGAGCCACACAGAGCTCTTCTTCAGGTCATGGTTTGAAAGCTTGTGTCTCACCAAAAGAAGTTGGTCCAATTAAAATATATTACCTTATCCACCTGGTCTTTTTAATTCTTTAGTGTAATTTTTGGCTGATTAACATCCCATATTTTTATAGCTTTTTTTGGTTTCCATGAGTGATAGTAAACACTTGTCATATTTTCAGTGTATTTGGACGCTTTATTTAAACAAAGCTTTTTGCAAGGTTTACTAAAATTGTCAGACATTCCAAAATTTGTCATTTTTATTTTAAATGTAAAGCTGGTTTTGTTGATATTAACCATGGAACTATTTTAATTTACTCTGACTCTTTCATAACATTTAGTGTAAAATCTTGGCCATATTGAAGTCAGTGGCAAAACTCCTATTGTCTGTAAAGGGGCCAGCATTTCATTCTGAAACTGCGTATATCAGTACCTAAGAAAACAATGACTTAATGAACTAAACATCTAGACATGCCCCGGAACCCATGTTGAAATACCAATGGAAATGACTCAGCCTTTCATTTTCCAAAGGTAGATAAATTGAGTTCCATGCAGTTTACTTTGGGGCAAAACATCTTTGTATAGGATTCTAAAAACCAGAGTTCCTGTCTGCAGTGCATGGACACTAACAATCCCCTGGCACTTTTTGGAATGATAAAAGTTTGCCCCAGTGTCTTTGGGCAAAATATCTCCATCTGTTCCCTCTTGTGTAGTATGATTGTAGTCTTCCTAGCTGCAGTCCTGCATCCATCTCATGGTGAGTGCAGTGGTTCCTGAATGTTACATAATTAAATGGTGAGAGCCACTGGAATGAATTGCAGTATATCCTATAAATTCAAGAAACAGAAATTAAGCTTTTACATTTTGCTGAAAATTTCTTAGTCTTAGCAATTACACTTCGATAACAATATCTCAGTCTCCTTGCTTAAGATTAAAATATTCAAGTTACAGAATGTCTCTTTAGCTTAATGTAATTCACAGTACAGTACAAAAGAAACTGCATAAAATATTTGCAGTAAATGAAAGCAATATGTATTACTAAACTGTTGGTTTAATTTTCTTCTTATGTGTGAGAACATTTAAGATGCTATTCAATGACATTATTTACAGCTCTGTAGGACTCAGACCTGTATGTAGGCACAAAACATAACAGCTGGAAAAGGAATTTAAAATTAATTTTCATTTGGGAATTTAACTCCTCTTTTTCACTTTTTTTAATTAGAGCACAAAAAGTACCGTACAATCCATTGTACTGGCTATCTGAAGAGCTGGCCTCCTACCGAGGTGGGAGTGGAAGAGGAGAATAATGCAGAAGACAGCAGTAACTTTAACTGTCTTGTTGCAGTTGGGAGATTGCATCCTTATATTGTTCCACAAAAGAGTGGTGAGATAAAGGTCAAACCAACAGAATTTGTTACACGCTTTGCTATGGATGGAAAATTTGTTTATGTAGACCTACGGTAAGCATTTCGTTCTTTATTATAGAAAGAGCTGATAGTGACTCTTTATGTAGGTTGCCTAATGTTTTCTGTTACCTAGAACAAAACTTGCTGAGCAGGACTCGGATATGTAAGATATCATATTAAAAAAGTGTTGTATTACCTTACACTAAAGAATTTATTGACCAGATTAAAGCACACATCATAATGTTCTCATGCTTATCAAGGGATGCACCACTCACCCAGTGATGAGCTGCCAAAATCTTAACAATCGGTTCCCTACCGGGTCTTCGGCGGCAGGTCCTTCATTCATTCCGGGTCTTCAGCAGCACTTCGGCGGTGGGTCCTTCAGTGCCGCCGAAGACCCGGAGCGAGTGAAGGACCCGCTGCCGAAGTGCCGCCGAAGACTTGGAGCGCCGCCCGGTGAGTACAAGCCCCACGTGTTTTTTTTACGTGTTTTTTTACGTTGTGTTTTTTTTTTTTTTTTTTTAAGTCATCCATGCAGGGGCCCTGTCAAAACTGTTTGAATCGGGCCCCGCACTTCCTAAAGCCGGCTCTGCACATCGGGGTTGTAAAATTGTATCAGGGCCGGGTAGGGAAGGCTGTGCCTCCCAAAACAGCTGTCCCCCTCCCATTCAGCCCCCCCGCATATCCTGCCCCCGACTGCCCCCCTCAGAACCCGCAATCCATCGACACCACCCGCTCCTTGTCCCCTGACCTCTCCCTCCAAGGACCCCCCCCCAACTACCCCCCAGAACCCCACTCTCTACCCAACTCACCCTGCTCCCTGTCCCCTGACTGCCCCGACCCCTCTCCACACCCCTGCCCCCTGACAGCCCCCCCCAGAACCTCACTGTTGAAGAATAGCTGACTGCGTCTCCCAATATTATACGTATGTAGGCAATAAGTCAGATTTAATAGTCTTTATTGGATTCTGATATTTATTGCAAAATTGAACTAAGTGCTTTGATGAAGCAGTTTTTACAAGCACTAGTATGAATTGAAGCTAACAGTTACATTAATTTAATCTCTGTTCTGTGGATATGATGAAAAGCTTGGCAAGAATTTAGACAGTAGCCATGGCAAATGTTACAGAACACCATTGTGGGTAAGGGATTATATAGCTACTGCCAGTGGCTGTAAACAAAAGAAATGCTGTTTTAACAGTTAGCCAGTGAGAAACCATAGTATTTCCATTATTATACAAACAGGTCTTAAAGTCATTGCCTTTCTTCCTGATGTGTTAAAAGCAATTACATTGGTTAATAAAATTCAAAGACTTTGTTTTTCCTATTCACAAAGTGTAACGGACAGATCCTCTTTAGAATGCTGGGTGATATAGTCTTACCATTATCGCGCCAGCTATTTTTCTAAGTAAAATAAGTTACATATTTAACCCTGTCTGAAACAGAGAGACAGATTAACATGAATAGATAATATAGGCTTTAAACACCGAACTATAAACTGGAGAAAATGAGGCAAAAATAGAAAGGAAATGTAGAGGAGAGGATTTTGCTAGAGGAACAACAGCTATTATTTAGAACATACAGACAGGCAACTCACTGCCCCCCGGGATCCCATGCCTCTCTTCCTCCCCCCCCCCCCGCCTCATCATCTCCTGATTCCTCCCCTCCCCATCTAACCTTGGGCTCCAGAAGGCTGCGAGCTGCAGTCCGATTAAATCAGCCTGCCGGAGCTGATTCAATCAGCCTGCCAGAGCCCAAGTAAGATGGGGGAGGAATCCGGGGGTGACAAAGCTCGGGAGGAGGAATCGGGGGGGTGGTAGCACTTGGGCAAAGGACGCTTGGCTCTTCAGCTGCACAGAGCCGAGGTGTCTTGTTTCCCAGCTGCTGCCGCTGCCGCTGGCCATATGGTAACCCTAACAACCGGTTCTAAACCGGCTTCTAAATTTAGCAACTGGCTCCAGCTCACCACTGATCTGATGCCTCCTCATGATCGCTCTAGGGATTAGCTCTTGAGGCTGACGCCCCTTCCCATGGTCACATACCATCACTCTGTCTGTCTGTCTGTGTGTCTCTCTCTCTCTCTGGTCCCAGGAACCGCAGCATCATCTTTGTGACTCAGCCCTCTGGCTAGGTTACTCAGCCTTCCCCTCCTTCCAGGGTACAGTCCTTCAAATCTCTGTCACTCCTACAGTGACTTAGGCTGTCTTCCAGTTAACTGCCCTGCGTCTGGTCTATGCCACGGCATCAGTGGCTCATAAGAAAACCTGGGCCCACCCACTACTTCAGGTTCCAGTCCAGGGACCCTCAACCCAGCAGCTTTGGGCTTTCCTTTCCCAGCCCTCACTCCTCCTTCCCTGGACTACTTCCTACAACTTCTGGTTTCCCTCCTTGTCCTGGGTGTACCAGCTGCAAACCCTCTTCCCAGGGAGTGACTGCTGCCTGCCTTCCTGCAGCCTTTCCCAGCAGCCCCCAATTTCCTAGCAGCCCCTGTCTGTTGCCAGCTTCCTGGCTTTATAGACCCTCTCTGTTCCTGCACAGGTGAGCCTCTGCCTCTAAAGTGCCCCTGTTTGCAGCCTAATTAGCTAATTGGACCCACTTGGCCCAATTCAGCTCTTGCTGGGCTAGTATGGGGAGCACAGTCCATCGCAATGCTTTTAAACTAATTCATCAAAAATCTCAAATTAGAATTTGAGAAAACTAAGCATAAGTGTCAGCAGTTAGTATTTAACCAGAAAATCATTAATCTTGCTTCTTAAAATTCATGCAGCACATTTAAATTATGCCAACAAATTATTTAATAAGCATGAGAGTTTGTCCATGTGTTACTAGTTTGTTTAAAACACATACTTTATGGTTGACTCAGTTGTCAGTTTTTCTTATTTTGTATCTCAGTACTTTAAGTAGAAATACTATAAGGTTGCTTTACTGTACTTTATCTAGACAATTCTGCCTTTCATCTGTGAGGATGAAGCCTGTTAATATAGAATGAAAGTAACTATTTAAACACCATTATTTCAAGTAATATTGACTTGTAACACTTGGAGACAAAGCTAAGTGCTTCATTCTCACTAGAAGAATTCAAATCAATAACTTAAAATATCAATTTTTTTTAGATTCATTGAACAGTGGGATTTCTAAATAATTTAAATCAACCTCTTCTCTGTATAGTGAGCTAGCTTGTAGAACTAACAGTGCAGTACATCCTAATTGTTTAAATGTGTACATAATACAAATGTTCTCTGCGAAATATGGGTTTGAACTATTTTGTGTCTAACGGTACTGGCTAACATAACAATGTTAATATCTTGTTTCTATTGTAAATGGATTCAAGGTAATCTACTGTTTAACCATCATTTATTTCTTATACTTGCTTAGATCTGTACCTGTTGTAGTAGAATTTTGTTTTCAAACACAAATAAACATCCCCTTTAAATATGTTTTTTCTGTTTTGTATGATATTGGCATAAGATGCTGAATAAAGTGTTTTAATTATGTGTGAATCCTCTCTTCTTATTGCCTAACAGTGCAACAGCAATTTTAGGGTATCTGCCGCAAGAGCTTCTAGGAACTTCTTGTTATGAGTACTTCCATCAAGATGATCACAATCATCTAGCTGATAAACATAAAGCAGGTATGAAATGCTTGGTACTCCCTATATAAATTACATACAGACACTATGTTAAAAGAAAATAAAATCAAGTACTCAAGAGTTAGGAAATGTTAGAAATAAGGCCCTCATTAAGTATTGCCTTGTATCACATATAACATCTGTAGTAGAGCCCTCTCTCCTGGATCCTGTCCAGTGCCTTAAACACAAGAGAATTTTCTTTCTCTTCCCTTAATCCTCTGCCTCAATCTTTGTCCATCCTGTGCACTGAATGAAGCAGCGGTCCTGTATAGCAAATAGTAGTCATGTAATTAAATATTGAATTTAAAGAACCACCAAGCCTCAAATCTTCCCACTGTTGACTTGCAAGAGCCCAGGTGATGGGCTCTGCTTCATGTCTGATCAGATGGCTAAGTTTGAAATTTAATTGGATTCCAGTCTTTGTGCTTATCTGGAAAGTACCAAGCACATTGTTGACACTATATTAAATTGAAATTGTTTTATTGGTTGTGTGGCTACCAAAACGGAGTTATCAAAACAGATTTTTAAAGTCGGTTATGTCGTCCTGTGTATACAAATCAGGATGAGCTTATTTTGTTTTTTTCTTATTTAGTGTTGCAGAGTAAAGAAAAAATATTTACAAATTCCTACAAATTCAGAGCAAAAGATGGAACTTTCATTACATTGAAGAGTCAATGGTTTAGTTTCATCAATCCATGGACCAAAGAACTGGAGTACATTGTATCAACCAACACTGTAGTGTTGTAAGTAACTGGTGAAGTGAATCTGCATCTTATTTTTTGTCTTAATTAGGAATATCATTAATATAAAGCTATTTATTTAAAAAAATTATGATTAATGAGAAAAACAGGGCTAGAAAATACAAACTCTGTGCAATTAGTTAAATCCTAGCTATAAGGCCAGAAGAGACCCTCATGATCATCTAGTTTTTTGATTTCCTGCACATCACAGGCCACAGAACCTCAGCCACCTAATAAACCCAGAACCTCTGGCTGAAATACTGAAATCCTCAAATCATGATTTAAAGACTTCAAGTTACAGGGAATCCACCCTTTACTCTAGTTTAAATCTGCAAGTGACCCGTGCCCCATGCTGCAGAGGAAGGTGAAAACCCCCCAGGGTCTCTGCCACTCTGATCTTGGGGAAAATTCCTTCCCAACCCCAAGTATAGTGATCAGTTAGCCCTGAGCATGTCAGCAAGACCCACCAGCCAGACACCTGGGAAAGAATTCTCTGTAGTAACTTGGAACCCTCCTCATTTCATGTCCCATCTCCAGCTGCTGGTGATATTTGCTGCTAGCAGTCACAAATGGGCCACATGCCATTGTAGGTAGACTTATCAAACTCAGCCTTCAAATCAGTTAGACTTTTTGCCCCCACTGCTCCAGAAAGCTGTTCCAGAACTTCACTACTCAGAGGGTTAGAAACCTTTGTCTAACTTCAACCCTAAACATGTTGATGGCCAATTTATATCCATTTATTCTTGTGTCAGCACTGGTGCTTAACTTTTAAATTATTCATCTCCCTCTGTGGTATTTATCCCTCTGATGTATTTAGAGAGAGCAAACATATCTTCCCTCAACTTCTTTTGGTTAGCCAAGCCAAGCTCTTTGAGTCTCCTCTCATAAGGTAGGTTTTCCATTCCGCTGATCATGCTAGTAGCCCTTCTCTGCACCTGTTCCAGTTTGAATTCATCTTAAACATGGGAGACCGGAACTGCACACAATATTCCCAATGAGGTCTCACCAGTGCCTTGTATAGTGGTAATAACACTTCTCAGTCGTTACTGGAAATATCTTGCCTGATGCTAATATGATTCTAGGATGCCTTTTTCACAGCTGCATCACATGGGCAGCTCATAGTCATCCTGTGATCAACCAGTACACCCAAGACTTTCTCCTCCTCTGTCGCTTCCAACTAATAAGTCTCCAGCTGATAGCAAAAATTCTTGTTGTTAGTCCCCAAGTGCATGACCTAGCACTTTGCACTATTAAATATCATCCCATTTCTATTACTCCAGCTTTCAAGAAAGGCTAGAGACTTGCAACTCAAACTCCTTCAAATGGAGAAGTCTCTCAGACCTTCTGAGCCTGAAGCCTGGACTTCCCCTGGATAAGCCTCACCAACCATGGCTTCTGATAAGGGTCCCTCCTCCATACAGACTTCTGATGAACCCACTAAAAAAGGGTCTAAAAAGCGGGTAACTACATCCCCAAATCGGCCACAAAGTACCATTCTGTGATCGGGCAAACTGCATTGGCACCGACCGCACCTTCAGTGCTCGGAGCCGAGATAGTGAGACCATCCAGCACCGCCAGTACCGTGAGAGCTAAGGACTCTAAAAGAGCCAATGCGGACACAGGTGCTAAGGAGAAATCAAAACCCCATGCCTCGGCACTGACTCGGCCAAAGCCACAATCAACACACAGCAGCGCGGCACCGGTGCAGACCGTGGCTCAGTCCTCGAACCCCAATATACACTCTGTGTACACACCGGCACAGCCTACAGTGCCAACATATGTGCCGCGTCTCCCGGCACCGCCGCAAGCACAGCCCCCGGTGCAGATCATGCAGACACCACAACAGCTCATACGGCACAAAGATCTCATCATCTGATCTACGCCAGACTGTCCCATCCTTGGCACTGACATGATCCCAGCACATTCGGCACCAAGTCTCATTGCCACTCCATCATGCTCTGCTCCTCCTTTTTCGAGTGAGGATGAGGACAGTGAGGAGGGACGAATAGATTCTCTCCCGCAATCTCCTGCCCACCATGAGCCACCCAAATCTGGATCCTTTCAGGGGGCATACTACGCTGATCCCAAACATCTACAGTGGTATGGCCAACTCTGGGGTCCACCTATGCCTCTCAAATCCCAATCGGTATACTGGAACCCATGGGCAATTTACCTCACACAACAGGGATTACCCACCACTTCTAGACTCAGCACATAGCAATCGCCTGCACCTTCGGTGCCTGGACTTTCGGAACTGGCTGGAGAAGGAGAGGAAGAGGAGGAAGAACCCCCATACCAGGAAGGGGCACCACCTACCCACCTGTCATCATCCTCCCCAGGCGACACCGTCCTGCCTTCTCCCCTAATATAGGGGATGATTTTGAACAATTCCAGGACCTATTTAAAAGAGTGGCTACCTCTCTGGACATCTCTCTGGAAGAGGTCAGGTGACACAACACAAACTGGTGGACATCTTGAACACCTCCTCTTCGTCCAAAATAGCTTTGCCAATGAACAGCACGATAATGGAACCTGTCAAGACCATTTGGCAGACCCCTGCAACTGCTCCTCCAACCTGCAAGAGGTCTGACAAAAAATAATATGTGCCAGCAAAGGGCACAGAGTTCCTCTTCTCCCAACCGATACCCAATTCACTGGTGATCAACGCAGTCCATGAACGTGGCAGACAACAGCCCAAGACCACACCTCATGATAAGGTCTAGAAAAGCCTCGACCATTTCGGCCGCAAGACTTACTCTTCGGCTACACTATACCTCCGCATAGTTAATTACAAGGCCTCTCTGGCAAAATATGATTACAATAACTACACAAAGTTTTCTGAATTTATTGATTTTATTCCGGAAGATAAGAGAGAACAATTCACACCACTTGTATCAGAGGGAAAACTCATCTCCAGAACAGCCCTCCAAGCCGCACTGGACTCTGCAGACACAGCTGCGAGATCAGTGGCAACTGCAGAGGTGATGCAGAGGGCCTCATGGCTCCATCTCTCCAGCTTTCTTAGGGAAGTACAATCCACGATCGAAGACTTACCATTCGAAAGGCTCAAACTCTTCGCCGAAAAGACTGACGAGACTCTTCACATGCTCAAAGATTCATGAGCGACACTGCGATCTCTGGGGATCTATACGCCTAGACCCAAGAAAAGACCGGAGTTGTTATGCTCCTCAACGTTTCCGCCATACTCCATATTCACAACATCGGCAGTATGAGTCACAGGGCTGCAAACAGAGGCCATCGAGGGGACCCAGCCTGCTCCTCCTGTAGCTGTGTCGCAGCCAGCAACATCCAGCCAACAAAATGTGAAGCCTTGGCTGAGGGCCCGAGAACCCCATGTCTGTCTGTCTGCTGGAGACATCTACTCTCTCCCGACCATTTGGAGACTGCCTGCTTCTGTTTTATCCAATCTGGAAAACCATCACATCCAATCAATGGGTGCTAAAAATCGTATGAACTGATTACTCCATCCCCTTTCTTTTCAAACCTCCTACCCACTCTCCTTCTCCATCCGTCTTCAGGGACCCATCTCACGAGCCTCTGCTTTATGACCCACCTCATACATATAGGAGCAGTAGAACCGGTTCCAACAAAACTCAGAGGGAGGGGCTTTTATTCCCACTATTTTCTCATGAAGAAGAAGTCGGGTGGATGGAGACCAATACTTGACCTAGGCCAACTCAACAAGTTCATCAGGACACAACGATTCAAGATGGTCCCACTAGAGAGAGGGGATTGGTTCTTGGCTCTTGACCTCCAGGATGCATATTTTCATATAACTATCCATCCTTCCCATTGGAGGTTTCTCCAATTTACTATTGGCCAGGAACTTTTCCAATACAAGGTTCTTCCTTTCGGTCTATACACTGTCCCTTGTTTTTTTTTAAAGTACTAGCAGTGGTGGCGGCCTACCTCCGCAGAAACGGGATCATGATATTCCCCTACTTGGACAACTGCCTGCTGAAAGCACCAACATGGAAAGTGGCGTTAGAAGCCACCGAACAGATGGAGACCCTTTCCATGAGATTTGTGCATTTATTTGGTGGCCTAAAGTCCACTCTAATGCCAGTGCAAAAGTTGGAGTTCATTGGGGCCCATATCAGCTCTCCCGAGGCCATAGCCTCCCTACCACGACAACATTTCCTTGCTCTAACCAATCTCATAGCCACAACATGAATCAGTCCCCAGGTATCTATTGGGACTTGCCTACAACTTCTCGGTCACATGGCTCCCACAACTTTCGTCATCAGTCACGTGAGATTACACATGCATTGCCTCCAAGGGTGGCTCCGTATACATTATGTCCTGCACAGACACAGCTTAAACAGATGTTGGACAAAATAAGACTTTCTACTCTGGTGGACAAACCCAGACAACGTCTGCACGGGGGTGCCCTTCCTTCAGAAGATGCCAACATTAACCATCACCACAGACGCTTCGCTCCTCAGATGGGGGACACGCCTGCATCTGCATTCTGTGCAGGGTCGCTGGTCCCCTGCAGAATCCCTTCTCCATATAAATCTGTTAGAACTACGAGCCGTCTGCAACACCTGCTCTCACTTCTTACCAATCATCAAAGGCAAGGCCATTCAGATCCTTATGGACAACATAGCTTGTTCTGTTTTACATAAACAGACAAGGGGGAGCACAATCACACTCCCTATGCATGGAATCCATGAGACTCTGGCAATGGTGCATCAGGTACCGTATCCACATCTCAGCCTCAGACCTACCTGAATGCCAGAACACCACAGCAGATATTGTAAGCAGGCACTTTTCTCAGGACCACAAGTGGGAGCTAGACAACCACATACTCCAAAGCATATTTCAACAGTGCGGGGGTCCCACAGATAGATCTCTTTGCAACCACATAAAATACCAGATACCCCCTTTTTGCTCCAGGCCAGGTCTTGGCATACATTCCTAAGGCGACGCCTTGCTCATCAAGTGGAACGCTCCCCTCCTATATGCCTTCCCTCCCATCCCCCTCCTGAACTGTGTGATCCACAAGATCAGGTAGGAGAGAGCGAAAGTAATTCTAATAGCCCCTGCATGGTCCCAACAAACCTTGTATCCTTACCTTCTCAGGATGGTGATGGGTCCATTAATCACGCTCCCGCTTCTGCCTCATCTGCTGTCCTAGAGCTTGGGTTGCACCCTGCATCTGGATCCGCAACAACTCCATCTCGGAGCGTGGCTCCTCCATGACTCAAAGGATCTGAGATGACCTGCTCGAAAGATGTACAAAACATATTATTGAATAGTCGCAGAGCAACTTCCTGCCACACATACATACTCAAGTGGCGGAGATTTGATGCTTGGTGCCAGCAAAACAAGATGGCATCCTTTTCAGCCTCCTTACCCTCAATATTCGATTACCTCTTAGAACTTAAAAGGTAAGGTCTCTCCATTAGTTTCAATACGAGTTCACCTCTCCACTATTACAGCTTTTCACCACAAGGTGGATCAACGCTCTGTCTTTGCTCACCCTCTCACCAAACGTTTCCACAAAGGCCTCACCAATGTCTATCCAGAGCTACGCGATCCCACTACACCATGGGGCCTCAACCTAGTCCTTCGGGTCCTCACCAGTTTCCCAGTTGAACCTATGGCTACATGCTCACTCCTACACCTTTCCATGAAGGTGGCGTTTCTAGTGGCCACTACATCTGCTAGACGTGTAGGAGAGTTGAGTGCTCTCAAGGCAGACCCCCGTATACTGTCTTTTTTAAAGATAAAGTATCCTGAGACTGCACCCCAAGTTTTTATCTAAAGTCATCTCAACCTTCCACCTTAATCAACCCATTTACTTACTGACATTCTACCCTAAACCTCACGAGGATAAAAAACACCACACTTCATACTCTCAACGCGTGGAGGGCATTGGCCTTTTATATAGACAGAACAAGACCATTTCGTAAATCCCCCAGACTATTCGTCTCCATCACTGAATGCTCCAAAGGGAGTGCCATAGCCAAACAAAGGCTCTCCAAGTGGATCTCCAATTGCATAAAACTATACTACCATCAATGTGACCGGCAACCGCCGCAGGGATTCACACACATTCCACCAGAGCCCTCTCGACCTCTGTTGCTTTCCTTAACAACGTGCCCATCACGGACGCCTGTAAGGCTGCAACCTGGGCCTCAATCCATACCTTCATGCAGCATTACGCATTGCAACACCTGATGCCTTCTTTGGGCTCACTGTACTGTCTTCTCTTACTCCTTCAACTCCGAAGCCCCCTTCTTCCATAGGAGGGCACTGCTCTGAACTCACCTAAAGTGGAGCACCCACAGGGACAGCACTCGAAGAAGAAGAGAAAGTTACTCATCGTGTGCAGTAACGTAGATTCCTCGAGATGTTTCCCTGTGGGTGCTCCACTACTCACCCTCTGTTCCCTCCTCCCCTCTACTTTGGCGTTTAATACTTATTCTCTGCAGTAGAGAAGAAACAGAGGGGTGTTTGCTCGCACGGCGCCAGTTAACCACCTGAGGCGGTGCAAGACGGGGGTCAAATCTGAATACTTATTTAGCAAGAGGCACCATGTTAGACCCGAGTAAATGCCTGGTATTAAAGTTAAAACTTTATTAAGTTGCTGCCTCCCACTTTAAAATCCATCCCTGTGTCTGTTTCATTCTTATGCTCTTGATCAGCACATGCAGATTGGCTTAGATAAGAGGCACCAGTCAGTAGCTATTACCATACTACACCATGGGGCCTCAACCTAGTTGACACTATCTACTCTGTGACCTATGTAAAATTATGCAGTGGTAAATCTAGCTAGCTGAAACTCCTTTTCTCACCCCAAAGAGTTTGCTCAGTTTCTGTGAATTAGTTTGTGTTCTTATCTTAAGGTCTCATGGTACTGTAGGGAATGATACACAGTTGCTCCCTCTGTAACAATTTGGCAAAGTTCAATAGGTGGTAAGATACATAAATGGACGACCAGTAATTTCACTTCATCTGTCAATGGTATGGACACCATAACAGCTTCATGACTTTACTGGATTCTCCAGCCACAGACACCTACTGAATGTCAAAGGGAACATAACCCTCCTCCAAGAAAGATGACTGTCCAGCCCACCTGTTGCCAGTCCCCAGTGCCTGACCAGCCATATATATCAGGAGAGGTAGTAATTCTCTGATGTCTCAACAGCAGGTTGGGTGAAGTTCCTCCGTGGTTATCAGTCTAACAGAGTGGATATGTGCCCCAAAACACTTTTTTCAGCCAGGGAGTTCAGATGGGGCCCATTTCGGTGGACTATCCCGATTCCCTTGGTAACTGGGGCTGAGAATGAGCGAGAGAGATACATACACAACCACAAAACACCCTGGAGAATATAGAGGTAGCTTTTCCATAGAGACACAAGAAAAGAACCTTGGTTCTCTGCCCTTCCTGGCAGAAGTTTGCATGGAATTTACTACTCTTTAAGCTGGGAAGAAGGGAGCACAGATCCATCCTGAGGTGCTTGGAGGCATTTATGTGACTTTCCTCAGACGTGGGCCTAAGCAACTGTGGTTCACCAATCTGCAGATCAAATATAGGTCCCCTTGCACGTTAGGATTGCCCATCCTGGTATGTCATGAGCCTGGGCAGGTTTTAGATTAAGTGCATTCCTCACTGCCTCATGATAGAGGAGTATGGTCTAATTCCTTGTGTTTTCTGTTGCTCCAGCTTCCTTCACTAGTTGTAAAATATAATCTAAACAAAACTGGTGAATAAGTGGAGCTAAATCTTTCACCTGATGCCACAGAAAGTGGGATTGTCCTGGCGCAAAGCAATACCACACAGGGCATTTCTATTTAGCAGTAGGAATTCAGTTTTTCTGGTGCATAAGGATCAAACATATATAACTTTGTCATGTGCTCAGAATTGTGACATATTTTACTCTGTTTCATGTACTGCTTTAAATCTAATACCAAGTATACAGGCAAGTCTCATCTTACATGCATTTAACATGCGTGAATTCAGCTTTGCACAGTCTGCAAAAACAAAACAAAAAAGAGAAAAATAACAATTTAAATACTGTACCTGTAGTGCGGGCGATTCCGCCCGCCATTACACTCAATGTAATTTTGATTATACACGATTTTCGCTTTATGCGCTGACAGCGGAACGTAACCCCAGCATAAGATGAGATTCGCCTGTACTATGTATTGTGTTTTAAATTTCACTGTTTTTTTCCCTATGCTATTAAATTCTGAGGGGTCACAATGAGTCAGGAGAAGAAGCATTACTACCCTGTAGTTCCCAGTCCTCAGAAGGCAAGTACAGTTTTTAGTTCACAAAATGTTATCATTGTAGTATGTACATTTCTTATAAGATCATTCCATAAGTGATTAGTATATGGTATTGGAATAATCTGGGTCCTGTGACCTTCTGATCCAAGTGGGGTGTGTGAGGAAAATAAGCTTTCTCAAAGCCAACTCACGTGATGCTCTGTAGTTAAACATAGCATCTCTAGCTCATGTAGCACACTGCATCCCCTTGTGATCCAAAGTATCATGATTATATGTCTGATCTCCCTTATTCATCTTCTCCTAAACCTGGATTTTCAGCTAGGCAGAATGATACACTGCTTCCACAGAGCCAAGTTTAAAATAAAAGCTGAATGGTTCATTCTGAGTTTAATCATGGTAATATTTGTTTAATATTAATTGGTATTATAATGTTGGGATGTTTATGTATACCCAATTATGGAATGTAGGGTGGTACTGATAAATTTATTTCGGTGTTTATATGCTGTAAATAGAATCAGCTGTCTACCTGCTTCCTTACTTGCTATATCATCAAGCCACAGACCTTTTCTTTTTCACTCATCCTCTTTTAGCTGGGCTTTGTACACAGATAATTGATTTTTGTTGTTGTTGTTGTTGTTTTTTACTAAAATGAAAAAAAAATTCTTATGCTATTTGCACTCTTGATAGGAAACAAAGCACAGACAGTATGAGTATTTATATTTAAATGTTTGTGTTTTTTAAAGGAAAAGGAGGGTTAGGGTTTCAGAACCTGCAAGGTTAATAAAAGGTGACTTTAAAAGAAACCACAATTTTTAAACATTCCTTTGCAGTTTGGTAAACTGCAGCACAGTGCATGTGTAGAAAAACATGAAATTGATTGTTAGTGCTTTAAAAAACACATTAAAATCAGTTTTTTGTTTAAAATCAGATTTTTATTTAAATGTAGTCTTTTAAAAAAAACTATTTAAATTTAAATTCAGACAACTTATGTTAAGGCCTAAATTTACTATAATTTATGAAGATAATGTAAATTTAAAACAATTAAGCAATACATATTTGCTGCTGAAGTTTTAAAGAAAGTAAAACTACTGGACTGGTGGAAGTCACTGGCAATGCACCTGGAACCAGAGTTTGCTGAAGTGCTAAGTCAGCTTTTGACAGAAGTAGGAAACAAAAACAAAAAAAGCTGCAGGAGTAAAAAGAATTCAGGCAGAAGTCCAGCAGCAGAGTAGGGGGCTAGCCAGTTTGTTGTACTGAATACAGCATGTATGATTACCTGCCTTGTGGGCGGGTGGCGTATTTACGCATTCAGTGCAGGGGGTTGTGGCTCTCAGAGACCAGGTACGGGCTCTGAAGACCAGAGTGGTTGAACTGGAGGAGCTAAGGAAGACAGAGAAAGAGGTACATAGATGTGACTTTCTGGACATATCAGTCCCACCCCCAGTCTGACAGCCTCTGTGCTGTTGAGGAGGACGAAAGTCTTAGGGAAGGAGAACATCAAAGTGGAGTGGAGGGAAACAATCCCATAGTTGGGACCCTCCTTCCAGATGGTGTCATGGTATCCTCTCACATGGAATCCTAGTTATTAGGAAGAGACAGATAATAGTAATGAGGGATTTGATCATTAGATAGCTGGGAGAATGGCATGGTGAACTGCCTACTGTGTGCGAAGGTTGTGGGGCTCTCAAGACATTTAGACAAGCTAATATTCAGTGCTGGGGAGGAGCCGGTGGTCATGGTACACATAGATAGCAGGGAAAGGTACGAGAGAGATCTTGAAGGTCAAATTTAGGCTGCTAGGTCTCTTGCCTAAAAGTCCAGGACATTCATGCTTGCAGTTCCATGCACAGGGCCAGTTAGGCAGAGCTGCAGGGTCTTAATGCGTGGATGAGATGATGGTGTAGGAAGAAGGGGTTTGGTTTTCTAGGAACTGGGGAATCTTTTGGCAAAGATTTGGCATCCTTACTGTATAGGCTCCACATAAACCTAAATGGAACCAGATTGCTAACCTGTAAAATTAAAAAGTTTAAAAACTCCTCTACAACTTAAGGGCTGCAAGAAAGCCGACAGGTGCAGAGGAGCACACGGTTCGGACAGAAACATCCATTGGGGAGGATCTTTAACAGGAATTCTCTATATCCTAGTAAAGAGAAGAGGATAGAAGTTGCTAAAGTACAGGTAGGAGCTGAAGAGAAATAGTCAAATGAAAGAATTCCATTCAGTTACATCACATAATGGCAGACAGCTAAAACTTGACAAATTTTATAAGTGCTTGTATACAAATGCTAGAAATCTGAATACTAGTATGGGTGAACTTGCCTGACTGGTATTAAATGAAGATATTGATATAACAGGCATCATGCAAACTTGGTGGAAGGATGATAAATCAGTGGGACAGGCTAATTAGCTGTTACAACTCAACAAAGAGCTCTTAGAGTCATTGTGGATAGTTCTCTGAAAATATCTGCTCAATGTGCAGTAGCAGTCAAAAAAGCTAACACAATGTTGGGAACCATTAGGAAAGAATAGGTAATAAGACAGTAAATATCATAATGTCACTATATAAATCCATGGTATGCCCACAGCTTGGATACTGAGTGCAGTTCTGGTCTCCCCATCTCAAAAAAGATATATTAGAATTGGAAAAGGTATAGAGAAGGACAACAAAAATTATTAAAGGTGTGGAACAGCTTCCATATGCGGAGGTATTAAAAAGACTGGGACTTTTCAGCTTGGAAAAGAGATGAATAAGGGAAGATATAATAGAGGTCTATAAAATCATGAGTGGTGTGGAGAAAGTGAATAAGCAAGTGGTATTTACTCCTTCACATAACACAAGAACCAGGGATCACCCAATGAAATTGATAGGCAGCAGATTTCAAACAAACAAGTATTTCTTCACCAGTGCACAGTCAACCTGTGGAACTCATTGCCAAGGGGTTTTGTGAAGGCCAAAAGTACAACTGGATTCAAAAGGGAATTAGATAAGTTCATGGAGGATAGGTCCATCAGTGGCTGTTAGCCAAGATGGTCAGGGATGCAACCCCACGTTCTGGGTGTCTGTAGCCTCTGACTGCCAGAAGCTGGGACTGGATCACTCAATAATTGCCCTGTTCTGTTCATTCCTTCTGAAGCATCTGGCATTAGTTGCTGTCAGAGAGGATACTGGGCTAGATATACCATTGGACTGACCCAGTATGGCCATTTTTATGAGTCTTGTGCAAGTGCAGAGAGAATATTTTCTTCATTTCAGTTTATTTAACCAGTTCAGTTCAATGGCAATCTTGAAGGACATGGTGACTAGAAACAGTGTGTTCCTATCACTAACTACAGATAATGCTTCCTTTGTTTAATAAATCAGTTTTAAATGCAAAACATGTTCTGATAAACTTTGTAAAACTTCTTTCTTAGATATCCAGCACATTTAGCTAATAAAAAAAATAATTTAATTTAATTTTAATTTTCATCACATAGAACTTGACACAAATTACAAGTAAAAAATCAGCATGTAATAATTGCATTGTTCACTATTTTCTAACATAAATAAAAGATGTAAAAAATAAGAATCTGAATAAATGTAAATTAAGCTGTATAATAGCTTAAATAAACTTGTGTAGATACACTGTATCTTCCTGGTTAGCCAAAAAAAAAAAGCACAAAAGTTAGCGTAAATGCTATATTTTATTGCACATCAATGTGTTTTAATGGTTACTAGTTAATGAGAATTAACCTTTCTTTAGGAAAATAACTAAAAAATAAAAATGCAAAATGTTTGCCAATTTAAATAATGATGTAAAGTGGTCCACACTGATTGTAAATGAAATGTATAGTTTCATTGGTCAAGCTTAGTAAAATGCGAAGATAAGTGAACAATGAAAATCAAATTAGATTTATAAAATTCTCTCTAAGTTGTTAGTAATACAAGTAAGGAATCTGTTTTATGTAAATAAGGTTAATAAACGTTGAGAAGAGATGGGTTAATTGATTCCTGCTGTATAGTGAAAATATTTGAACTATTTAATGAACTTCAACTTAGTTTTCTTTTTGTAATTGTAGATACTTCAAAGCAGTCTTTTCCCAGTGTTCCTGGGATGTCCACTGGAACAATACTTGGTGCTGGATGCATAGGTACTGAGATTGCAAATGAAGTATTAAACTTAGAAAGGTAAGGAAAATTGAAATTGTATTCTAAGCTTTTAAGCAAAGAAGAGTAGAATGTGATGCGGGAAACATAAGTAATTAAATGGGAATGTACTAGTGTACTGCTTTTATTTTATCATGTCATATGAGTTGGTGTTTTTTGGTTCAGCATTGGTACACTGCCTTAGAGACCAGGTATAGCAACTTAACCTGAGATTTCTGCATGACAGTGCAGAACACTGACCTGTTAACCATCTTAGTAGTATGCTTGTCATTCTTTATTTTAAAAAGTTTGCTTATTCACCCAGATTTCTAAAAATTGTATTATTCTGGATTTGTTACATCTTCACTTTAATTAGATTAGAACAGATACCTGGGGACTAGATTATTTCTAGTCCTCAGGGTGTCTGTTCTAATGTTATCTTCAGATGGCCCCTGCCTGTTCATACTTAAGAGATGTGCCATCCGTGCAGCTCTGACGTGGAACCTTCTTGTAGCAGTGCTGTTGGAAAGCCCTTACAGACCATCCCTCTACTCACTGTTCCTGAATACTGTGAGGGTGAGGTTCTAAATGGCGATCTGGCATTCCAGCCACCTCAGTTTCTTCCAAGCACAGTTGCAGCCAGACCATGAACCTCACCAAGTCATTCCAACTGGGAATCATCGACTCAAAACTCAGTGCCTTGGCTAGCTCTGTTGGTGTAGAATTAACCATTTAAATTTAATTTCTTCTAAATAAAGAGTTTTTTTAATTCATTTAAGTCAATTCCTGTGCCTCAGCATAAATCCACAGATCCAAAAGAGAAAAGACTAGGATTTAAGAGGTGTGCCTCTTCTCCTGCTGTGTTCCCAGCTTCAGACACCCATGCAAGGTCTTAGCTGGGAGAAG